CATCTCCAAGGTGGATGCCTTCCTCATCTCATCGCTCCATCTCCAAGGTGGATGACCTCCTCATCTCATCGCTCCATCTCCCAGGTGGATGACCTCCTCGTCTCATCGCTCCATCTCCAAGGTGGATGACCTCATCTCATCGTTCCATCTCCAAGGTGGATGATCTCATCTCATCGCTCCATCTCCCAGGTGGATGACCTCCTCATCTCATCGCTCCATCTCCCAGGTGGATGACCTCCTCATCGCATCGCTCCATCTCCCAGGTGGATGACCTCCTCATCTCATCGCTCCATCTCCCAGGTGGATGACCTCCTCATCTCATCGCTCCATCTCCAAGGTGGATGACCTCCTCATCTCATCGCTCCATCTCCACCCCTCCTCGGGTGCCTTCCCTACAGTGAAACATTGATTGCATTTTAAGTTCCGTAAAAGCTGTACGTATCTGATACCCCACCTGTCAACCCATACGGTTTACCCCGTATTCTTGTACAGGGAAACTGAGTTTTAAGGTCCATACGGCATACAGCCGTTTCAATACGGGCAAACACAAATAGTCTATTTGTTTGTGTTTCTCCCCTTGTGATGGGACTTTGTAGGATGAACGTTGAGAATTATAAGGGGCACGGCGTGACCAATAAGGTCTGAGTTGGTCTGTAATTAGGTGGGCACTGATAAGAGCTTGACAGGTATGTGATACCAAAGTATGGTTTTCCATCTGCCTCGTGCGCAAATGGATTATAATAATTTTTGCACGGTGAAGATTTTGCTATAATCCAAAAAATTGGGCAAACGTGTATGCTGAAGAAATTTTAATTGGGCAAACACGGGATTTTCAACATTAGCATTCAATAACAGTAATATTTGCATGTAACACCTGCTATACAAAGGTCTCTAGAGAAATTCAAATGGCTTTTCAGAGTTAATTGAGCTCAAACATATGGAGCATTGGGGTGAAATGACAAGGCGTCTGTGAACGGTTGACTGTGCCTTAAGTGAAGGAAAAAAAAGTTAATTATGCGGGTTTTTTTTTATACATCGGGAACAAGTACCCTTTGTCTCCTACCAAATAACATTGCAAAAAAAAAACCACGCACACTTTGATCTAAATCTGGTTGACAAAAACTACAAAAATGTAAAAAATGCATTTTAATAACAATGCAGCGCGAAGTTGTTAGTCTGCACGAGACAAAGCCATTTCTTGAGCATCCAGCCGGTGCCCATCTCCCTGTTAGCAGCCCGAAGCTAGCGGTGGAAATTCCACATTACTATGGGTGTGGGAGTCGACCCCATAGGAAAACCACTGTTGACTTCTCCACAAAGTGGTGGGCTGAGTCAACCAACTCCAATTGTTGTGATTTAAACTCACAACTTTTCCAATGCAAGCCGCTTACTCTGCACAATAAACGATGAAGAATTTAAACTAATTAGTGGACGCAAGACACTAAAGGAAGATAATTGAAGTTATTTTGAGATACCATTCAGACAACCAGCATCTGCCCCTTGTTGTTAAACGCGACCCAACCCCAATGACTATTTCTCCTTATTATTCTTCTTCTTAAGCTGTTGAGATCACCGGAATGCTAACATTGAACTCCGTGACCAGACTCTTTGGTTCTTTCGTTAAAGTCACGTAGATAGAAAATTAATAGACCACGTGACGTTTCGATCGCGACACAAACAACCGTCATCAGGTGAACACAGCAGGAGAACTGCTGACGCAAGTGAGGGATTATGCAACACACTGCATTTCAGCATGAGCCGGCTTGTAAATATCCCACTAGGAACAGACCCACTCGTCCTACACGTGGTGATGTGACCTGCATCTGGATGTTTGCCTGTGAGACCATGTTGCAAGGGGCTGGAAGCACTTCTAAAGAGCGCATTTGTCCATCTAATTAATGTCACAAACATCAAGTCCTTCAAGCTGTGGGTCTGGCAGCGTGTTGGCTGACCCGACCCGGTGTGTGGTTATCCCCTAAGGCTGTGAAGGCCGGAATAAAAGAGAGAGAGAGAGAGAGAGTACCTCCTGCTAGTGTCTGTGAATTAGTACACTACACAAACATGAACGTGCTCATAATCGGACATCCTTCCACCAGCAGTGGCATGAGCAAGTAATACCATTGCTGCACTTGTACCTATGCCAATCAGAGTTTGCCTGGCAGATCCCTGACGTCAATTAGTCGTCTCTCAACTCCAGTCCTCGTGACACCCCACCCCCACAGAATACAGCTTTTTGCGACTACCAATCATCAGGTGCATGCAGTGTGCACTGGCTTAATTTTCAATAGCAAAGGTCAGGAATTTCAAAAATGTGAAACGTGGGTTGAGAAGCGGTTGAATCAGCAATGAGTACGGGTCCTCGCGTGCACACACACGAAATCCATTTTCAAAATACAGGGTGATCCGTTTATAGATATCCCACTGATTTATGACTCCTCTTACTTTATTCTCATCAGTTGATTGAATAATGCGAAAGCGATGGCTCCATATCTTCCACGTGGGAGTCTGACAAATTGAAGTCATGCATTGAGATTGAAGGGAGACGTGTGGCGGTTTTCAAATTAAACGTATGTTTACGCTGATTTATCCCGATTATTTTAGGATGGGTATCTGTAAACGGATCACCCCGTATAAATGCAAATATTACATTAAATTGAGGTTGCACATTAAATATATAATGACATCAAATGTTTGCAGCCTAATTACTATTAATAATCACTATGCTTGCACTGGCGTGATGTTTATTTTTTGCATAAATACACATCATTTTCCATAATAATGAAATCCATCCGTGCAGAATCGCTATCAGAACACAGCCAAAGAATATTTTAAGAGGAAAACGAGTGTTCAAACGCCAACGCAAAACGTTGCTGATTTACCCCGAATACCCTGCCGCGTCCCAAGCTACCCCCAAATCAGCGGCGATTCGGACACTGTGTATATGCAAAATACGCTAAACAAACCTCCAAAAATATCCCACGGTGTCAGAGTGACATTTAAAAATTGCACGCATAACCCCCTGCGTGGCTTTGCACGAGGAGGCTGAACGGAGCTGCAAACATGCAGCCAACATCGGGGCCAAAGGCATTCTTGCGATACGACCAGCGGGGCCTAAGTTGTCGAGTGCGCATGCAGTGCAACTGCCACAGCTAACAGCGTCCACGTCACTCATGGGGTCACCGCCACCACCATCCTGCTCTGCCCGGCGTGGGTTAAACAACCCGCGAGACCGATACGGCATTGGCAGGCGAGAGGGGAGCGAAGAATCTTGGTCATTTGATAAAACTGCAGCATTGGGTGATTGAATATAGTGTTAGCACACTGGAGGTATGCTAAGCTTATGTTGTTAAATATGATATTTTAAAAACAGCAGGAGTAGCAATAGCTATACTGTATTTGAAGTCCTGCATTAATGAACTTCTTGATAAATACTAACCATCCAGTACGATATTTTTTTGCGGCTGTGTCCGCTGCGAATATGGAGACATGTCAGTGCATAACGTGGGATTTGAATGCAGGACTGTGTCTCTGGGTGCGTGTTTGGACACATTTGATCAAATTCAAAAGGTGTTGCCCTGTAATTTCTCGCTCAAACCACTGCTGGCAGAGAACCCTCCAGTGAAGGGAGCTCTCGAGAACCCCTCTTCGAGGGTAGTTTTGGCCTACTCTTCCACACCGGCCGAGTGTCTTGTACCCCATCACATTCAATCTTCCGACTCACTAAACTGTGCTGCACCCGTATTCTTAGTTTTTTCGGTAAAGTCACGTTGAAGAGAAACAACAAAATAATAAAATATATATAAAACAATAACAAATTATCACGACGTTTCGACCATAACTCAAACGGTCATCATTTGAAACGTCGTGAGAATTTTTTATTGTTTTATATATATTTTATTATTTTGTTGTTTCTCTTCAACGTGACTTTACCGAAAAAAACTAAGAATATGAATTACTGCAGTCGCGAAAGCTTTAAATCAAAATTTGTGCTGCACCCGGTTTTTTTTTTCCTCCCGAGTGGACAGAGACGGGGGCGATTTTAGAAACTCGCCCAATGATTCACTGCCTCGTGGGGCGAATGACCCGGTGACCTCTGTCGGGATTGACCTCTGAAGTCCAGCGGTGCTAACCATTGCACCGTGGCATCCTCCCCATGTATGATACAAAGGTAAATAAACAAAAACAACTTTAGTACATTTGACGAATGTGCCTTCACACATAGAACGTATTCCACTGACAGATTTGCGGTGAATTTTCAACCCTTCTAATTGTAAAGTCGATTACAAAAATGTCTTTGCCCGTTCAAAGCCCCCATTACAATATAATTAGTTTGCGCATTCACGCTCGCTCTGATGGACAAAGGCATAGGGAATTAAACTGTCTGCACTCAAGCATGTGGTCATGACTGCACTCTGCACCGCCAATGCAAATTTGAGTCTCGGGTTACGTGCATACTGTAGCCTTTGGTACAAAAAAGAGAAAATTAAAAGCTTTGGACTGATCATTCACGGTGGAGCGGCAGTGGAGTGGTGAGCGAGCTGCACTAGAATCCTGATGTGACCGCAGTTTGATTTCTTGTTAGGAGAAGCAAACCTTGGACCATCTCCCGAGATGCCCCGCAGCACCACAATGCACTCCTCAAGATTTGGCAATGCCAATACCGGAAGCGGTGGCCTGTGGAGATATACTGGGAAAAGACGATATAGGTTGGATAGGAGACACGACTAAGAAGAAGTTTGATTTGTGCAGAAAGCTAACATCAGTGACAGATACCGTCAGAACCGGTCCTGCCCTCCACCCCCCAACCGTACACCAACCCACACCGACCAGCTTGGTGAAGTATGGTCAAACAACCCCAACGATTGCCATGAAGTTGGTGGATTGAGAGTAGCTGGAATTTATTTCTATTCTTTTTGTTATTGACAATTCAACCAAAATCTACAAAGTGTGAGTTTGTGTCTCATCGGCTGTGGTTCGGTGCCAAACTCAGAAATAGCTCAACGTATTCTCAAGTGAAGTGTTTATATTAACATCAATTATGCAAGTAATAAATGGTACATTTATAGAATTACACTCATGGTTTGCGTTACAAACCCTTTTCATAGGGGAGTTTTGTCACGACTCCCACACTACGATCAAACGCGAGTGCCTCTATTGGGTCGATGAAGCTCATTGTGCTACAGGGGACCAGAAGCTGCTGTACTTCCCCCCCCTCATCCCCCTAAATTGGATTGCCAGGCACGACAGACCGCCAACAATGAAATGCAACAATCCAGACAGCCCTCTAGAAATACCAAATTGGCAAACGTCTCGCCGCCACGCCGTCTCGGTCCCTCTCGTCTTGAGCTCAATCCGTTCCACGCTCCCCTCCAGCCCTTCATTTTGTTTTCTCTCTTAGAAACAGCGTTCACTTCGCTGGGGTGGGACGCCTCTCGCCTCTCCTCTGCTCATTTACGAGATTCAACGTCTTAATATTCAACGGCTTAATTTGCACAGTGCAAGTGCCAATTTAACCACGGGCGTGTTTCTCCAAAGGCTGCGTTTTCATCTCGGGGGCTTCTTGGAAACAAGCTCATTACGAATGTAACCAATGGTACGTGACATTTCGATGTATATATATTTTTTTCTCGACAGATTTCAGCATCAGTTCCGTCGCGTGCTCAAACACGACATTGCGGGTACGTTCACGATCAAGACTGCGCTTTAACTGCAACTGCACCGCCAATACGATCACTGGAATGACCAAGCCCAAAAACAACTTCGCAGCGAACGTATAGCAATCGTACATAGCGAACCGCATCATCTTTCCACGTCAGATATCTTGTCGAACGTGCAACACGCGCGCGCGCGAGCCGCACACTCTTTCAAAAAGAGGGGGGGGGGGGGAGGGGGGGTGGAGGGGAATCGATGGCATCACCAAACTCGTCGCGACATCACGACAATACGTCCGTCGGAAGCAACTTCTCCGAGGGACGCGTGGACGGCAGTGACCGGCGGCTGGACGAGGTGGCTCTGTCGCCGGGCGCCCTCTCCGTGTGCGCTCTCCTGTCGCTCATCGACATCGTCACGCTCTTCGGCAACGCCGCGGTGCTGCTGTGCCCCTTGGTGGAGCGGCGTCTGCGCACGGTCACCTACATGTTCATCATGTCCCTGGCCACCGCCGACCTGCTGGTCGCCTGTCTCGTCATGCCGTTCAGGTGAGTGGCGTCGTGCGCCCGCGCGGTAGCCCCACGCGGCACAGGACGCTGCAACGTTCCGCACGCGCGACGTTTGTGCACTCCAGCGAGGCGCTACACCGCGAGAGGTATACGCGACCCAGGAGACAATTTAACGTTTCCGTAGATTGTTAAGCACGCGATGCATGCGTCGAATCGCGTGTGTTGAAGATCGATGCTTTACGGACCTGGTCCGGCAGTGGATTGCTCATGGCTGATGATGATGATGCGTTGCATGCAACTGGATAAAGGTTCACCTGCGGCTACTCTTGGCCGTTTTGTTTGTCACATTTTTTTCAACAAGAGAATGGATCTTGAATTCAACTAATAGCAGCTGTAGACTTTATTCCACAAGGTAGGAAAAACCCATTGAGACGTCAGTTCTATTTTGCTATGGAAACCTGAGTTGCCGAGTGACTGAACAGACTCAGTAAGGGGGCGAATCATTATACCCCGACTACCCCGAAGTACCCTTCAGGCAGAATACATTTACAAAAATACACGCAAGGAGACATTGCATCGTAACACTAACTCACTCGAGAGAGAGAAAGAGCTAACCAATATCACAGCAAAATGTGCAGGCGAGCCTGGCTAAAGCACAACTTATTTCATTATATCCGGTTCCATTTTCAATATGCACACCTTACAAATGCTACGCAGTTTGTATGAAGGTTTTGAAGGAGGCTTTATCTGCGTGCGTGGGTTTTTTTGTGTGTATCCATGTATGTGGACGCAGCATCATCTACGAAGTCACGGGCGTTTGGATTTTCGGAGAGCTCTTTTGCAAAGTGTGGATTTCTTTTGACGTGATGTTCTGCACAGCATCCATCGTGACCCTCTGCTTCATCAGCTTGGACAGATACTGCTCCGTGACCACGCCAAACCACTACCCAACGCGCATGTCTGGGAAAAGGTCAGCAGGCTCAGCACCTTATTGGCGCACGAAGCGCAAAATTCACCAGGCTTTTTCGCACGTTCTTGAAGCCTTGCACGATTCGAGAAACGCATCGACTCCGCTCTGTCGCGACTCTTCACAGTGCCGTTATGTTGCTGGCCACTTGGAATGTTTGGCCTTTGAGCTCGTGCTCAGCAGCCACAATAGTGATAGCAACAGAAAGCGCTTCCTGCATAAAGTTTGTCGATCTTTTTTTTTGTGTCCGAAATAATGAGACACATCTAACCAAAAAAAAGAGATCTACCCATTAATTGTCACAAAAATCGTGTCATGAAAAAAATCAAGCTATAGCAATTTTAATCTTTATTTGAAGCTTTCGTGACTGCAGGAATCCATACTCTTTGGTTCTTTCGCTAAAGTCACGTAGGTAGAAATGAAATAAATATTTATTTTATTTTTATTTATTTTATTTCTACCTACGTGACTTTACCGAAAGAACCAAAGAGTAAAGCAATTTTATTAGACGCACAATCAGCATGATCTAAGCTATTTATACATTTTTCTTTCGATGTGTGTAAACACGTTGCTACGACTCATGCGAGAAAACACCGCCGCTTACAATTGCTGGGTGCCAAAACATCTCCGTAAAATCGGCGATACGTATGAGTCTTAGACAGTGCAGTGTTCTAGATTGGTGCTTCACTTTCTCCAATCGCCTGCGCTAATTGCAACGCGCCTCAGAGGAGTCACGTTTCCAGATGCCGCGGGTTCTTTGCCAACCGTTAGAACAGCTGCAATGTGTCTTTGGACACTGCCGAACTTTACAAACATTTGCTTCGTCCCTCTGGCCTCGTTTGTCCGACACACCACCATCACTCATCTCCCCGTCCCCCCCCCCCCCCCCCCCATTTCAGGTGCATCGCGATGACCGTATCCATCTGGGTGTACTCGCTGCTCATCTCCTTCCTGCCAGTCACGCAGGGCTGGAACGAGATACCGGGCGTGCGCTTTGACGCGCGCCGCGAGTGCCTCTTCATCACCAACTGGGCGTTCGTGCTTGTCGCCTCGACGCTGGCCTTCTACTTGCCCTTCCTGGCCATGTGCACCATGTACTTCTTCGTGTACCGCGCGTCACGCCTCAAGGCGGCGCGCGTCGCCTCCCAGACCCTCGACATCCACTACCACCCCAACAGCCAGCGCCCCAACAACCCGCAGCTGGAGAACAAGGCCACGCGCACCATGAGCATCATCATCTCGGCCTTCGTCATGTGCTGGCTGCCCTACTTCGTCTTCAACGTGGCGATGAACGCTTACGGCTCCAAGCACGACAGGGTGGTGGTCACGATGTTTAAAATCATGACATGGCTTGGGTATTGCAACTCGGCCATAAATCCCGTGCTCTACGCTTTCCTCAACCGTGACTTCCAGCACGCGCTTAAGACGCTCTTTCTGTGCAGCCGCATGGGCTCAAGGGTTGACAAGATTGGAGAAGACATGGTGTCCATGGTGACGATATCCAAAACGCTGGCGAAGGAGCAGGAAGAGCCATGAGCACAGAAAGAGTACAAGCACAAATCAAATCAAAATCCAGGTCATTCGCCCATTGTCCGTTTGTTAAATTGTATTTTATCGAAAGTTTCCCCTGTGTCCGATTGTGAAGTGTTTTTTTTCCCCCTTCTGAAATTGATACTGCTGAAATAAATAACAGCGGTGTAACATTGATGATTTGAATGAGCAGCACAGTGTCTCACCACCGTTATTGTGATTCGTGAATGAAAATTTCAATATATTTTTTGTTAATAGAAAAAAATGCGTTACAAATATATTTAACAGATTTTTGCCACTGCCAGACGAGGGCCTGCCCATGCTACGTTCAGTCATGGGGATATTGTTTGACCGTACTTCACAACGCTGGTCAATGGGAGACTTTGAGAGTGGGTACTCAGTGCCGGTTGAGATATTACTTGCCACCAATCATACTCGCAGCCATGGCTAATGAGTTCATAACTCAGTGTGCAAACTACTGTGCCCTGCTCCACCCCTTCTGATATTTTATTGAACATGTTGGCATGCTCAAGCCTTAATTAATCATTCATTTTACTTTTGTATTGCAGCAACTTTAGTCGTTGGTGAACACACAGAGGAAGCCCGTGGAATCCAGCAGGGGTCACCAAAAGCTATCACAAACGTCCAACCAGTGACCCAGAGTATTTTTTTAAACCAAAAAGTGTCTACGATTTCTTTTTTGTAACAACGGTACAGAAGTAGAGTGCACAATTAGTGAGTGACTGGCGCACACGTGAAACGCCTCTGTGTTCCCCATGCTTTATCTAGGAGGCCGAAACAGAAGGAAAAGAGGGGAAAGAGAAAGAGAGAGATAAGGATACGGGAGAATAGAAGAAAAAGGGGAAAATAAGAGGCACATATTGGGAAACAGAATAACGAAACATAACTTAAAGACAACTTAAGCTCGACACATGGAAGCCACTAGGATGGTCCGTGTGACCCAATCATTATATTTATTATCAATCAGACTGCGTGAGGCGAGGAAACAAGATAACAAATATTAAACATTCGTTTGTCCAAAAAAATGTGAGAAGAGCAATTGAATCAAGCGTCAAGGTGAACGTTTATCTATTTTAGCTCGTTGTATTCAAAGGCCTTGTGCTGGATGACAGTGGCTGGTAATTACCACGCGGTATGTACACGCACATGAAAACACCTTTCGTCAATCCACTTCTGGATGAGGTTCTCGCCACACCAGTCTAGGTCAGTGAAGGTGGGGAGGAGGGGGGGGGGGCATAGACACGAGAGCATAGAAGCACAGTACAGGTTTCCCTCGCTTTATGCGGTTCGGTTTGTGCGATTTTGCATATATGCAGCTCACCAATTTCAACTCAAAATTCGCGATATGCAGTTTTAATTGTAGTCATGCCGCGATGCGGTCGGACGTGGGATCACATTGTGTGTGTACTGGAGGCGCTACTCGGCAAGCCAGCCAGCCAGCTGTCTCGTGCTGTCTTCGCTTTGTGCGCCCCCTTTTTTTTGGAAGAATCTACCGCACAGAGCGAGAGGAAGCCTACCCAGAAATGACGCAAGCCCACAGAGCAACACAACGGAGCTGTGTGTGCAGGTCAGCCGCCCATGCCAAGCACTGCCCACGCTCGACTCCGATTATGCCGATGGTTCAAAATCCTCTCTTGCAGCATTAACATCACAGGGCTCTTACGCCGGAGTAATGGTTAGCACACTGGACTGGGAAATCCAGAGGTTCGCCAGTTCAACATCCTCGTGCGGCGGTTAAAACGTGGGCTAGCCGATTGAATTCCCACCCCTCTGTCCCGCCCAGCTGGTATGGATGGGCACCACCCGTCGTGTGTCGCGGGGTCACGTGTCGCAGGTTTTCCAAACCTCCAAGTTGTTTGGTCAGAGCGAGAGAGTAGACACAAATACCCACCCCCCCCCCCCCCCCCCCCCCCCGTAGAGGGGCTCTTCTAGACAAGCGGTTCCCAACCCTCTCCGAGTGTGCGGACCCCTTTTAAACCTTCCAAACATTTCTCTAAACCACCGCACGCTACTACTATTTTTTTTAATCGTACATTTCCTTGGTGAGGACGTTACTATTAACACATTCCTGCAGAGGGAGCTGGTAGGAACGTTGGGTTGCTCGGTCAATGGCCAGGGTCAACGGCGGCGTGGTGTATTCCGCAAATACAGTGAGGGGAAAATGTGTTTGATCCCCTGCTGATTTTGTACGTTTGCCCACTGACAAATAAATGATCAGTCTATAATTTTAATGATTGGTTTATTTGAACAGTGAGAGACAGAATAACAACAAAAACATCCAGAAAAACGCATGTCAAAAATGTTATAAATTGATTTGCATTTTAATGAGGGAAATAAGTATTTGACCCCCTCTCAATCAGAAAGATTTCTGGCTCCCAGGTCTTTTATACAGGTAACGAGCTGAGATTAGGAGCACACTCTTAAAGGGAGTGCTCCTAATCTCAGCTCGTTACCTGTATAAAAGACACATGTCCACAGAAGCAATCAATCAATCATATTCCAAACTTTCCACCATGGCCAAGACCAAAGAGCTCTCCAAGGATGTCAGGGACAAGATTGTAGACCTACACAAGGCTGGAATGGGCTACAAGACCATTGCCAAGCAGCTTGGTGAGAAGTTGACAACAGTTGGTGCGATTATTCGCAAATGGAAGAAACACAAAAGAACTGTCAATCTCCCTCGGCCTGGGGCTCCATGCAAGATCTCACCTCGTGGAGTTGCAATGATCATGAGAACGTTGAGGAATCAGCCCAGAACTACACGGGAGGATCTTGTCAATGAACTCAAGGCAGCTGGGACCATAGTCACCAAGAAAACAATTGGTAACACACTACGCCGTGAAGGACTGAAATCCTGCAGCGCCCGCAAGGTCCCCCTGCTCAAGGAAGCACATTTACATGCCCGTCTGTAGTTTGCCAATGAACATCTGAATGATTCAGAGGACAACTGGGTGAAAGTGTTGTGGTCAGATGGGACAAAAATGGAGCTCTTTGGCATCAACTCAACTCGCCGTGTTTGGAGGAGGAGGAATGCTGCCTATGACCCCAAGAACACCATTCCCACCGTAAAACATGGAGGTGGAAACATTATGCTTTGGGGGTGTTTTTCTGCTAAGGGGACAGGACAACTTCACCGCATCAAAGGGACGATGGACGGGGCCATGTACCGTCAAATCTTGGGTGAGAACCTCCTTCCCTCAGCCAGGGCATTGAAAATGGGTCGTGGATGGGTATTCCAACATGACAATGACCCAAAACACACGGCCAAGGCAACAAAGGAGTGGCTCAAGAAGAAGCACATTAAGGTCCTGGAGTGGCTTAGCCAGTCTCCAGACCTTAATCCCATAGAAAATCTGTGGAGGGAGCTGAAGGTTCGAGTTGCCAAACGTCAGCCTCGAAACCTTAATCACTTGGAGAAGATCTGCAAAGAGGAGTGGGACAAAATCCCTCCTGAGATGTGTGCAAACCTGGTGGCCAACTACAAGAAACGCCTGACCTCTGTGATTGCCAACAAGGGTTTTGCCACCAAGTACTAAGTCATGTTTTGCAGAGGGGTCAAATACTTATTTCCCTCATTAAAATGCAAATCAATTTATAACATTTTTGACATGAGTTTTTCTGGATTTTTTGTTGTTATTCTTTCTCTCACTGTTCAAATAAACCTGCCATTAAAATTAAAGACTGATCATTTCTTTGTCAGTGGGCAAACGTACAAAATCAGCAGGGGATCAAATACTTTTTTCCCTCACTGTATGCTCGACTGTGAGGGCGGGCACAAGCCGGCGTGAGTAGGTTAAACGTTGAGTTTTATAAGGGCACCACGGGGTGACCAGCCCCTCCCCACCCAGCCCCACCTTCCCCACTCAGCCCCTCCCCACCCTCCCCTCCCCACCCAGCCCCTCCCCATCCTCCCCTCTCCACCCAGCCCCACCCCTCCCATTTTTGGATGCATGACGGACGGACGGACACAATAATCCCCTGTGGGCTGGTGTAACCAGGAGGTTCCTACCAGTATCATTGTCTTCTTCTTTTCCACGGACCCCTCCCCTCCCCACACCCCGTAGCAGCCTCGCGAACCACCAGGGGGTCGATGAGGCTAACCACAGGCTGGGAACCGCGGCTCTCGAGCTCCGAACAGTCCCTTCTGCCTGCAGTGGCGTGAGCGAGCAATCCGCAGGGCTTCGCCTCTTAACTCTTCACTCATCGCATGTCAATTGCGGTGCTCTCAATGCTTAGTCCTGCTAATCACCGCAACATTACCGCAAAGCACTACCAAATCACCACGAATTGACTACAAGGTACCCAAAAGGGCCCCTTCCCCGCCAGCACCTCCCCTCTCCTCGATGCCCTCCCCCCCATGCTCCATGCGTCACGCTAACCTACTGCGATGCTCTGGAATTTATCCAAAGGGATGGGAACCGAGAAGCTGTAATCTCCGCAGCGCGTTAATGTTTTAACATTTACTGTTTCAAAAAAAACTATTTTAAGTGTAAACTCGTAACTCGGCATTTAATGATTCACCTCCATTCACAAGTCAGGGTTCATGGTTAGACTCCAGAACGCATTGCGTCATCTTGCTTGTCCTGCCTTGTATGTACTGTCGGTCTAATCTGTAGCTAACATGCTTTAACGTATAAGTTGTTCTTTCTCATTCATGCCATGAACCTAAAGGTAACGATTGAATGCATCTTGCCAATATTTTGCATACAGTACATATTAAATAATTGATGCATGCACAATTCTATACTTGTATCGTACACATGTCATTCGACGAATCATTGCGTGCCTACTCATCACCCTACTGGGTAACAGTTAGGCATATAGGCTAACAGTTATCTTCTGCCATGAGACGAGATTAAAGGTTATGCTTCGGGTTATGGGCAAGGTCCAGAGCCAGGGTTGGGACCACCCCAGCCCTAAAACCAGACTCAAGCCTAATCCTGAGCATCTCCAGTGCCCATCAAGTGTGCAGGCGGTGCAACTGCATTGAGCGCCATGGGCCAAAACAGCAAAGGTGCCAGGCTGCAAATGAGTTGGGTGGGGTAGACAAATAACCATATTCAATCCCTTGCACCACGGCTCATACTACCCTACTTAGCATCGCCTTAAACTGAAATATCGAAACAGGGTTTGGGTTAGGGCGAGGACTACAATAAACCATAACTCTAAACACAAACCTAAGTTTGAGCCTCGGGCTTAGTGTTATGATTTGTGTTTGGGTTTTGTATATATATATTTGCTTTAAGTCAAAGTTAATTGCGTGCTAAAATGAACGTAGAAATGGTGCTCATTTTCCTGTTCATAGCCTGGAGCCGTCAGTGGTGGAAATTCCTATGGAGGGGACGAGTTGATTCACGGGACAACTATGAGCAGCATAGCTCCATCTCTGGGTCATCTGGCTGGGTAAGGCTAGGCCTGGGAATCATTACCATTCTTACAACAACAAGAACTATGAATATCCTTACAATAACAATACTTCTTGGAAGTAACTTGAAACACCCATTTTTACGTGGGCTCGTCACTGTATCATCTGTAGTCATGCGGTTTATGAGAAGTAGGTCAGTGCATCGCGTAGGAGAGGGTTCTGCATCACATCAACGCTGACGCTGCCTTTCAGATTTTTTTTTCGTTCCGAGACAGTGATACATTCCCGGACTCCTCAAAATGACAGCAAAGGGCACCTGATGGAGTACGGCTGATTGGCAGAAGTGGAGGGTGTGTGCGTGCGCGCGCGCGCGCGTGCTGTTTTTAATTTCTAGAAATGTTGGGCGAACGGCACTGTAGGGGCAGCATGGGGACATGGGAATCAAGAGAGAGAGAGAGATAGAGAGAGGAATCAAACCCGGGAGGCACGCTACCGATCACCGAGGATTGAAGGCGCGTCGCTTG